CACAGCAAATAGCTGTTTGAGAGCCGCCTACTCAATTTCCTGCTTCTTGGAGGCAACTGCTTTTTAAGTCTGGTTAGTTTTGGTATTTAACATATACGTCTAAGCCACTTCTTGATTTTCCTCTTAGGTTTCATGTACTAATTTCCCTTAAGGGACATAACATTTCAGTGTTGTCCTCACCTGTTCCTCCCAGTACTTACTGCTCATACCTTATTTTTTTAAATTATAAATTTGGATCAATATTTAGTGCTCACATTAATATGACTAGAAATATATAATTCACTGTCAAGCCATGTGGGATCAAACATTACTGTTACTATCACAACTCTAATACTTCTCAGGAATGACAATCTCATGTTTTCTTTATTTGCTTAGGTTTCTGTGTAATTATTAACTTAACCTCAGGTTCTCTTCCAGTTGGTTACATATCCTCTCAATGCCCAATGGTAGAAATGAAGGAATTTATTACTCTCACTTAACATGAAACGTGAAGGCAGACTATTTCAGTTGGTTTAATGGCTCAGTGATATTGTGTTTTCTATCAATTTCCTGTTTTTGAAGACATGGCTCCCTGACACTCCTGATCTGCTTCTGTCTAGAGAGGATTGTTCTCTGATGGTGCTACATGGCTTCTGTCCTGGGCTCCTTTCACTACTATCCTGAAGGTTATTTTGYTTTGTTCTTGAGTTGAGTTTCTTGCTTGCTGAATCCCAAGGTTATTCTTTCTTGATTCCCTTTAGCATTTTGGTGGAGTTCCTTCTCCTGTGGTAGCTTCTTTTCCCCCTTTGATTAAATATACATGGCACAAATTTTACCATTTTACTCACTGTAAAGTGTGCATTTCAGTGACATTGTACATTCAACATTATTCTGCAGAAGTCACCAATATTCTTTTTGAAAACCTTTTCATCATCCCAAATGGAAACTCCCTGCCCATTAAAGCACGATTCTCCATTCTACGTGTCTTGGTAACCATTATTCTTCTGTCTCTCTATATTTAACTATTCTGGGTACATCATATAAGTGGAAACAAAGAATTTGTCCATTCTCTAGTGCCTTTTTAAGAAAGGGTGTATGAGAAGTACACTTGGAACAGGGGACCGAGACCCTCCGCAGATGCCTGAAACCATGGGTGGTACTGAACCCTATATATGTAATACAATATTTTTTCTTATATGTCCTGCAGTGTTGCCACATAGTACCAGAGTTAATCTGTCCTTCATGTTTTTTGACCTACTCATCCTTTGCATCACTGCTCTTGCAATTTGGGCCATTATAAGTAAAATATGAGTTACTTGAACACAAGCACTGTGATATTGCAGCAGGTGACCCAATAACCAAGATGGCTACTAGGTGACTAACTGGTGGATTGCAGATGGACACGCTGGAGAAAGGGATGATTCGCTTTCCAGGTAGGACAGAGCAGTATGTGATGAGATCTCATTTGGGGTGGTAGACAATTTAAAACTTATGAATAGTTTGTTTCTGGAATTTTCCACAAAATAACTTCAAATCCTGGTTGATCATGGGCAGCTGAAACCATGGAAAGCAAAACCACAGATAGGGGGCTACTGTATAGTTTTTGAAACATGCATATCTAAAAATACTCTATTTACCTTCTCACTTATGAATAACTTGCCTACGTACATAATTCTGAGTTGGGTATATTTTAGTTTTGAAGGTGCTCGTTCAGTATGATGTCCCAGTAAGGATCCTGGATCTGCAGCTTCATTGCCTGGTTCAAAGCTCAGCTCTGCCATTTGCTATGTGTGTTGTATTGGGCAAGATGCTTTGCCCCTTTGGAACTCAAGATTTGTCTTCTGTGAAATGCAGATTAATAGTAGTACCTATTTCACTGGTTGTTGTGTAAACGAATTATAAGGCACTTAAAACAGTGCATGGCACATAGTTCAAGGCTTCCCTAAGTCTTAGCTCTATCACTTTCCAACTTCTAGTGCTGCTGTGTCCCTTCCTGTCCCTTCCCTTTTTTTCTTTTGGAGTAGCTGGGATTTACAGGTATATACTACCATGCCCCACTGTGTCCTTTATTTTCGTATATTTTTGTCTACATGTTTTATCCTTAGGATTTTGCCATATACTTAATGCCCAAGAGCTCTGCCTTGTTCTCATTTACTTAAAAACAAACAAACAAACAAAAAACAATAGCCTGTTTCTTGGGTGTCTATCTTCTATCTCTGAGAATTCCAATGGGGGAAAAACAAGACAAAAACTTGTTTTTCTTTTCCTTCATATCCTTGTTCCCTCCATATTGCTTTTTTTTCTGTTTACTTTTACATCTATCTTTAATAATAAATTCTTTCTTCTAACATCTGGCCATTCTTGGCTAGATGGGGCAGAAAAAAAAAAAAAGCTGATTGGAAGCACCGTGTACATGGATAGGGCTTGTCAATTATAGGTTTTGGCACAGGGTGACAGGAGCCCYTCACGTCTATACCTTTGTCTTTTCTCTTTGGCAGTCAGATTCACCAGAGAAGAATCTTGCAATCTCTTCTCTGGAGATGTGTGTCAGGATGTCAGCCTGCTGGAGAAGAGGGCTTGGGCAGCATGTAAATTGTCATTTAACCCTCCTGGTTTTAATGCACTTACTTCTCCCGAGACTAAACCTGGAGTGTTTTTCTGGGGTGAGGAAGTCACCCAGCTATAATGATTAATGCTGCCTTAATAGTCATCCTGCTATTTGTAGCTATTTTCTTGTTCATGTTCCTAGTTCTGCTGTGCAAATTGAGGTTCTTTCCAGTGGAACTATCAACAGTGGAGAATAATAATAATAATAACAATAATTCTCCTCCTCCTCCTCCTTCTTCTTCCTCTTCTATTTTTAACAAAAAAGGGAGCTTTTGTCCATATTCCACATTACATTTTCCCCTTTATTCGTTGAATACATTTTTCCATGTTAATAAAAAATAGTCTCTGGCCAGAAGTGGTGGCCTATGCCTGTAATTCCAGTAACTTCAGAGGCTGAGGCAGGAGGATGGCAAGTTCAAAGCCAGTCTCAGCAATTTAGCAAGGCCCTAAGCAACTTCGAGACGCTGGCTCAAAAGTTTTAAAAAGGACTGGGCATGTAGCTCAGAGGTTAAGTATCCCTGGGTTCAATCTCCCCTATCAAAAAGAAAGTAAGAAAAAAGTCTCTGAAATATAGTATCCCTATTTCAATATAAATGTTATAATTTCTTGGACCAACTTTTTACAACTGGATAAATTTGGGTTATTTCCAAATTCTTTATAAGCAACAGTGCATTGAACATCTTTGTTGCAAAATTTCTGTTTACATCTTTATTTCCTCAACTACAATTCAGAGTTACTTTTTTTTGTGTGTGTGTGTGTGTGTGATGCTGGAGATTGAACCCAGGGCCTTAGTACATGCAAGACAAGCACTCTACCAACTGAGCTATATCCCAAGCCCCCAATTCAGTGCTGTTACTAATGATACTTGTGAYAGCTCACTAATCCTGTGAGATGCTCTATGAAATAAAATTTCTGCAAACATACTTTTGGGAGTCCTGTGATTCYGTGTGGTTTTGGAAATCATTTTAAAAACTCCACATATTCTTCTGTGGTGCAGTTCAGTTTGGAAGCCACCATGTACAGACTCAGCTTGCATTTTACCCAAGGAAAGCTGTGCTGGTCAAGGCCTGAGGGAAGTAGTGGAAGAAAAATCCACAGGGCAGGGGATGTCTGGCTCAGTGACAAATAACCCAAGATTAATAGAAAGCACACAGCATAATCYACTGAATTTACAATCATGATGTACTTAGAGTATTATACAGTAGGAAGAAATGTTTTGGCATAATGTCTTTTAAAAAATTCACAATACTTTGAACTAAGGCACATTTGTTTGGAAACCAAACTTCTTAGAGTACATTTTTTTTTTTTWAAAGACTGTCCTAACAGTACTGAGTTTTGAGGGAAGACTCCAGATGGAAAAACAAGCACCATTTCAGCAAAGTCAAATAAAGGGCCAAGTCTAATAATTCTGAAACTTATTATAGTGACATCTCACAAGGCAAGCTTGTTAAAACGCGAATTTCTGGGTCTCAATCTGCTTAGTCTAACTTCTCTGCTATAGTCCAGGCCTTAAATTCTAAATCTATACCAAGGACTCCCCAGAAATCTGATGTCAGAGGCCCTGGACCACAACTTGGGAAATTAGTTAAGAGGATGTTTTGCTAAAAATTACTACCAAGATTCCTTTTATTCACTGGTAATTTCTCTAGAATTCCCTGGTTACCTGTCCGTGGGTAGCAGGGATAAGGCTGAAAGGTCTTTTTGTTGGTGGTTTGTTTTGTTTTTTGAGACAAGGTCTCCCTAAGTTTCCAGGCCGTCTTCAAACTTGCAATTCTCCTGCCTCCGCCTCCCCAGTGGCTGGGATTCCAAGCAGGAGCCACAACCTGTGGCCTGAGAACAGCTTTTAATTATCAAGCAGGGCACCAAGCCCAGAAGATGGGCTCTGTGACCCACAAACTWCTGGGATGGTAGGGTTCTCAAACATCCTTTCTGGTCTCTTTCCTTGGGGTAAATTTCATGTAACCCTTTTAGAAAGCAGGGGCTGTCAGGCTGAAGGCTATGACAAGCCYGGGGATGGGCTTTTAAAATCTGTAATTAGGGAAAATGGGAAAACAGGCTGGCTCTGCTCTTTGGCTCAAGGAACAGGAACCAGACACTTAGCATTTAGAAACATATTTTTATGGGATCCCTGTTCCTCTGTGAGCCCTGATGCCCTAACTTTCTGCCCCCTAACACTCCTCCTTCTGATGCCCTTTTCCCTACTTTGACTAATTCTGGAGTCTAATTAAAGACACAAATACTCAAATCTTTGACCCAAACACATAGGCAGAGCCCTCAACCTAGAGAGTTCGGGTTCAGCCCATGGGGGTGTGGGGTAGGGGGGCGTGCTCTTTCAGCTGTCATGAATTCAGGGGGCGCCATCCTTGCTGCAAAATAGTCCAACTACCTCCCACTTCTGCCCCTTCAGGCCACCGGTTGCAGAGAGGAGTGCTGGTCTCCGGGATCAAAGGTCGCGGATAACGAAGCTCCCTGGGCTCTGAGCCAGGCGCCCCCGCCCAGCTCCCGAGATCCGAGTTCGGGGGCGCGCGACAGACGGGGAGCCTCGGCAGCGCGGAGCGCGGGGCTGCCAGGAACGCCACGTCACTCGCGACCYGACCCTACTGGCCCGCCCTGTCCCCGGAGGCGCGAGCGACTTGGGCCGCTGAGGGTAAGCGCTGCCGGGGCCCCCAGGCTTTCTGGAACCCGGCACCAGCCCGCGGGGCGATGGCCAGAAATCGGGGCTCCTACTGGGACCCCACGTGCCTGGGGCGCAGGCTGCAGTGTCAGAGCCGCCAGGTTTCAAGTTCAGATGGCGGCGACCTTGCGGCTTCCCCAGCGCACCCCACTTTCGGATCTGGAAAGAGCTGTGGTCTGGGGGCGGAGGTGGTGGTGGTGGGAGGTCGCGCAGTGTGCGTGGACACCGCTCCTGCATGACAGAGGGCCGAAGTGTCCCTTGTCCCCATTCTCACTTGGTGCCCTTTTAGGCCTTGCACGGCCTGGGCCTGGGCAGCTGCCCACTTTCTCCTTTGCCTCTAGAAAACACACCGGAAGGGGGAGCTTTGGGTCAACAGGAGGCTTTTCTGTCCCGAGAAAGGCCCGCCTTCCGTGCACCTGGTTTTAATAAGAGCCTGGGGAGAAATATGGCCAGGGGCCTGAAGGATCCCCAAGAACTTGTGTCCATAGAGAGAAAGAAGGGTGCACGTGGGCCGTACGTGCGCAGACGCATTCCCTGTACAAAGGCTTGTAAAGCCTCGTGCACTTTTCAAGCTTAATTGTAGCCTGGAGAGGATGTAGGTTGGAGTGATGTTAGAAATGGGATATAAATAGCAGTTAAAAACACATTTATTAAAATCGGGGACAAGGAGACTGCACAGTTGTGCACAATGTATTCTTTTCTTCTCAGTTTTAATCACACACACACACAAAAAAAAAGGAATATAGAAAAACAACTGCGGCTCCTTCCTATACTCCCACCTCCTTAATCCAGGGGCACACATATTTTTACATAGTTGCAATTAGAAGTACACCGCATTCTCATTCTGGAACAAGGGAGGTAAATTACACCCCACAGGGGAAGTGTTCATTAGTTCTAAGGAAAAGATCTCAATACATGAACTGGAAGTTTAAGATTGTATCAGGCTTTCAACCTATATTATAAAAGTTTAAAGGATAAAAGACATGAAAGGCTTTCTAAAAAGACCCTTATGAGACATGTAAATATATATTCACGCACACTCTTATTGCATCTTTGTCTAAAGCCAAGGGGAAATTTCTTTCCAATGTAGCCCTTTGATCTTTACAATCTTAAAAAAAAATTACTCTTACTCTACCTTGTACTAGAATTTTGGGGACATGAAGTTTTCATGAAAACTTTCTAAACCCTTAATCAGCTTTTAAGCTGAGATCTCAGGGTCTTGTGCTTCTGTTCCCTTTTGTCTAGAATGCTTTTCCCTTGCCTTTGAATTGCTTCCTCCTCCATATTCAGATCTCAGCTCAAATGTCAACTTCCCTGACATCTATGCAATGACAGTGTTTTATTTTCTTCAAAGCACCAGCTATGATTGGAGATAACCTTGGTTTAATTATTGCCATTGTCCCATCCCCTCGAAAACATAAGCTCCAGGAGAATAGGGGTCTTGCTGTTTTTCTTGCTATTGTTTTCTAGAACCATACCAGCTCTTCCACACTGCCAGTGTCTTCCAGGACTAGCATTTCAGTAAACACTAAAATAATAATAATAAAGTTCACAAAATCAAATGTGACCCTTGAGGACCCATCTTTAGTTCCCCTATGCCCCACCCCCTGCCTTTTCCCAGAGTGCCTTGGGCATGAGATTGCTCTCTGATCTGCTGGCCCATCTTAGGGTCCTACCCACAGCGTCCAGGCCAGTTCCAGGAATTAGGCCGTGGAGACAGTTGGAGCGCAGGCAATATCTGTTGGATGGGGATTGTGAACTAGAAAGCAACTGGGACTGTCCCTTGGGGACTGGACTGCTGGCCACACAAACCCTCTGACCCTTTAGCACCTTCTAGGGCTTGGCTGCMTGTGTGAAGTTCTAAGGTTTGTGCATTGTGGGAGCTGCTTGAGAAAGATGCTCTGTTTATGTTGGCCTCCAAGGGCAGGGAATAATTATGGGAGTGACAGGCTGCTCAAGTCCAGGGCTTTCCACCAGACTGCTCTCTGGACTGCTTGCAGGCAAGGCCATGGATTCCCGTGGACTCCTGTGTGGTTCCTTAGAGCCATGTCTCAGAGGAAGCCTCGGTGAGGAAGAGCCTGGGGTGGAGACAGAAAAGTTTTGAATTTTCCTGTGGTTCCTTGGGAGTTGATGGTTGTTGAGGACCTCAGAACAATACTGGAGTGAAGTGTCCTGTTTGTCTTTCTTCAAGGCCGCACAGGGCTAGTTCTCAAAGGCTCCGTGGTCAGAGTCTGCATGGATGGTAGTGAATGAATGTTCTCTCCTATGCATTATAGACAGCATTTTGGTAGAATGGAGATCACTGAGTCAATCACTTATGCCACCAATCTTGTTCTTCTACCTTATCAGGGAAGCACCATTATCACTTCCAATTCACAGATGAAGAAACTGAGGCTGAATAACTTGCTGAAGATCTGTGCTGTCAAATAGTGGAGCCAGGATTCAAATCAGAACCTGTGTTTTTAATTGCTACTAATGGCATTTCTTAGGTATCACTGGTATAACTTGTTGTATTTGAGCTTAAAATAAATGAGCCATGCATGTTGGCACATGTCTGTAATTCCAGCAGCTTGGGAGGCTGAGCAGGAAGATCATGAGTTCAAAGCCAGCCTCAGCAAAAGCAAGGCACTAAGCAACTCAGTGAGACCCTGTCTCCAAATAAAATACAAAATAGGGCTGGAGATATGATTCAGTGGTCAGGTACCCCTGAGTTCCATCTCTGGTACCTGCTCTGAAATTTATTGCCTTGCCAATGTACTAACATAAAATGCATACTTTTGGTGTTTCTCTGTGAATTAGGATTTTTCTCTGTTGTATGAAACCATGTCAGAAATAATAAATATTACAAAATAGGAGTGGCTGCAAATTCCACTCCCAACCCTCTACTTTATATTTTATATTTATCAAAACAGCCTATTATTCTCAGTAGTTCACTTAATAATAAGAAATACTATACAGTTTAATTTAAAATAAATATATATAAAATGAGGTGCCACCTATGTGTACATGTTAAAATCTGTGTATAAGATAAAAATCATTAGTAAAAAGGATCTGGGGTGCAAGAAAGAGAAAATTGACTATCACTGTCATGAGAATATAATTGAAGTTTAGGCATTTGATGGTGTATAGACAGGGCTAAATGTTATTGCTTAATTCAACAGATATGTATGGAATGATTTTTATGTATAAAGCATTGTGTTAGATCCTCACATAAACTACAGAGACAAGGCAGGTTGATATTCAAGGCTATAATGCTTTAGTGACATTAATAAACAACCAACTGTATTGAAACCCTTGACACTAATCAAAGCTGATTTTATGAAGAATCATGTGATTCCTGAGGAATTAAAAAAAAAAAGCTCAATCACTTTATGAATTAGCATTTGAGTCTGGTGCGTGGTGCATACCTGTAATACCAGTGGCTCAGGAGGCTGAGGCAGGAGAATCATGAGTTCAAATCCAGCCTCAGCAACTTAGTAAGGCCCTAAGCAACCCAATGTGACCCTGTTTCTAAATAAGATTTTAAAAAGGGCTGAATTCACAGTCTTGCTAACTGGCAGAATGCGTTGAGAGAAGGAGAAACAACAACAACAACAAAACAACAACAACAAAAGCTCTTAAGATTTCAAGATTGGGTGGTACTGAAAAGAATTGACAGCAAGGGCTTGGATTGTGGCTCAGTGGTAGAGCATTGCCTAGCACGAGTGAGGCAACGGGTTCAATCCTCAGCACCACATAAAAAAAATAAAATGAAAATAAAGATATTCTGTCTATCTACAACTAAAAAAATATTTTAAAAAATAGACAAACAAGGGGCTGGGGTTGTGGCTCAGTGGTAGAGCATTTGCCTAGCATGTGTGAGGCAACGGGTTCAATCCTCAGCACCACATAAAAATGGGTAAAATAAAAGACATTGTGTCTATCTACAACTGAAAAATAGAAAAACAGTCTTTTTTTAAAAAAAACATAGACATCAAGAGGCAGAGGAGCTAGGCACATACCAACAGAAAAATAGACACATACCAACAAAAAAAGGTGGCACATACCAACTTCACACCACTGGATGTGAAGCTGAGAAAGTTGGGATTCCGGTTTCTGTGCTGCAGGACTTTTCTGAGCCTTTGGAGAGAATGCACTTCCCAGGTGACTGTAGAAGCCCCAGTTCATTTCTCCGCAGGCATTTCTCAGGTCTGACTTTGGAAATGTATCCACAGACCAAGTCTACAAGTAAAGAGAAAGCGGAGCCCTTTGCATCTGCAGGTTGTCATCTTAAGCAACATCAGTTCTACGCTGTAGTCCAGAAAGACGTGCTAGGAAGACCTAAGCCAAGGACACTTAGTTTGGGACCAGATTAGTTTGCCTCTGTCCATGTCTTCCAGCAGCTGCTCTAGGCCCCATTTCATGGTGCCTTGGATTGATGGGGCTTATCAAGGTTGAAAGGAATATGAGTGAGAATTGCATACTCGGGTCTGCAGGTTGGGGTGTGACCGAGACTTGTTTCTTCCTGAGGATACTGTGCGCCTCTTTCCAAGGCCCGGAAAAGGGGGAGGCCCTGTTTCTGTTGCTGGAGCTCCTCTGCTGCTCTTGTTTGGATGCTGTTTCCTTTAGATCCTGGTCCTTCTGTTAGGAAACACCAGGTATATTACTTAACTCTAGATCATCCAAATGGACTCATCTCTAGGACTATGCAAGCTCTCCACGTGACACTTAATGACATGATTTCACTTACATCAATGCCTGCTCTTATCAGAATGGCATCCTTGTGATCTTTGAAAAACACCTAGCAAAAATACATAAAACTTTCCATTTAAGCCATTTTTCGTTGTGTGCACAGTGACATTGAGTATGATTATGTTGATGTGTCCCCATCACCAGGTCCAACTCCAGGACTCCTTTCGTTTTGCAAAACTGACATTCCAGACCAGTTAAACAGTAACTCCCCTTCACCTTCTCCCTCTGGTGCCTGTCAACCA